TCTTTTTCAATTGTGTTTAAGATATGCAATTATAAAAGGGGTGAGAGATCTAAGAGATGGAGATAGTTCAGCATCTTGGCAATGAGAAGAATATCTATCAAAAGTACCCAAGCTCTGCATATTTGGGTCTGAACCTTGGGCCTGCAAATTAATGGATCAGGATTTGAGTTCGAATTCAAAATATATACAACAGGGTTAGTCACCAAAATGGGTCTTGAAGATTGGCTACAAGACCCTACCCGAAGAGAAAGGGAGAATAAAACTTAGTTGTGAGATTTGAATTTGCATAATTTATTTGGAAGTCCAACCATTTTCAATTTTATCAATCCGAGTTTGTTTTAAAATATCATAAAGGTTTATATTCATGATTAGATAGAACTAGTGGAAAAGAAGGTTCGATCCTCTTGTCATTTCCAAAGGAGAATACCACAAAACCTGGAATATTAAATTGGAACAAAATTGGGCCCCCTTTTACAAGAATAAGTCAACACCTCGGAACTCCATATTTGTTGTTGTTGCGGGGGGGGGGGGGGGGGGGGGGGGGGGGGGGCGCATAAAAAAAGTGTGCAGAATCATTGAAAATCTACATAGTAAAATAATGATGAGAACCAATGAATTCATAACTTAGTTGGATTATAATTAATTCAGGGTGACTTTTCAAATATGTAAAGAGTTGTATCTAAAATATTATTCCATAAATATCGATTAGTCACGAGTTCTAAAATTTTGAGTAGTCACATTCTATTAAGGGATGTGCATGAGTCGAACCAAATTGAATTTTTTGAAAAATTGAACTAAATTGATTTAAATGGTTCGGGTTCGAAAATAATTCGATTCGGTTTAAAAGTGGTTCGGTTCGAAAGTGATTCGGTTCGGAATCGATTCGGGTCGACCCTATTTTGAAAAGAAAAAAAAATTATAAAAAAAAAATTATAAAAATCAATTTAGTTCGATTCGAAAACGGTTTGGTTATTAAACTAGTTCTAAAAACCGATTCGATTCATGAACTGGTTCTTTAAAAACCGGTTCGGTTCATGAATTGATTTTTAAAAATCAATTATTTTAAGTGCTGTTCAGTTTGGTTCATGATTCGGTTCAATTTTTTGGTTATTTTGCACGTCCCTACATTCTATACGATTTTGATAAGAACAACCAAATGAGACCGTATTATTTAACCGTGAACTTTGAGTGTTGGAAATGTGTTCCTGATTTGGTAATTTGTGAAGAGGAAAATGCAAAAAATAATGAATAACTGAAGTTAAAAGTTTCAAGGTTATCATAGAGTAGTAAAGAATGATGGATACATATTAAATTTCATGTATGGATTTAATAGATTAATTTTATTACATATTATTGTCTTGATTATTTGAAACTACTTTGGAATTAAAAACTAAAGATAAAAGACGGGAGAAATGTTCAATCCGAGAGGATTGGGATGTCCAACCTGTTTTGGCCGGCCCACTTTGTAGGCACAGTAAATTGGGCTAAGTGTTAGTAGCCCATGTCTATAATATTTTAGAGGGCATTCCATGATAAGCTATAGAGCCTTATCGCATGGGATACCATTTCCCTGCTAACCATTGTACAATGACAATGGGTGCAAAACGCCTTGTAGTAGAGGCATTGTGCGTAGCTTACCAAAAAAAAAAAAAAAAAGCATTGTGCGTTGGAGAAGGTGTCCTTCCTTCGCATTTCATACAATGAGATGCTGCAAATGCCTATCTTAGGCTTTGTTTGGGAGTTTGGAGAGGAAGGGAAGAGAGGGGATCCAAGGGAAAGAGAGAGGAAGGAGGGGAAGGAAATTTGAGGATATTCCCTTCACTTGTTTGGAAGTTAAAAAATGGCGAGGGAGAAAAAATGGAGGGATAATGAAATATTTTTACCATTTCAACCTTTTTTAAAAATTAATATAATTGTTATATTTTACAAATTAAATTAAATTTAAAATTTCTAACAACATTATTTATATACTTTTCACAATACTAAAAAAGATCATATTTTCGAAGAAATTTCTACAATGCAAATGACGAAAATTTTGTCACAAAATTATTTTTTCGTCAGAATACTTTTCGTCAAAAAGCGATGAAATTTTTTCTCCGATAAAAATTTTCACAAAAATAAATCTTCTATCAAAATTTAGTTTTCGTCAAAAGTTTTGACGAAAATGATTTCCTCCATCGAATGTTTTAAACGAAAAAGAATTCTGTCAAAAATTTTGACAAAATGTTTTCCGTTCAAAATTTTGATGAAAATGTGTTCTGACAAAAAATTCGACGACAATTGTTTTGTCAAAAATTTTAGGAAAATGTTTCATTCGAAACTTTCGACAAAATTTAGATTCTGTAAAGAATTTTGACAAAATATTTTTTCCGTTAAAATTTTTTATCCGAATATTTTTCGTCAAAATTTTTTACGGAAATATTTTCTGTCAAAATTTTTGACAGAAATGTGTTTTGTTGAAAATTTTGATGGAAATGTGTTGTATCAAAAAACTTGACGGAAATATTTTCCGTCGAGAATTTTCGACAGAAAGGTGTTTTGTTAAAAAATTTGACAGAAATTTTTTTTATTAAAAAGTTCAACGAAAATGTTTCTGTCAAATACTTTCGAATTCTGTAAAGAATTTTGATGAAATTTTTTTCCGTCAAATTTTTTTGGTGGAAATTTTTTTTGTTGAAAATTTTGATGGAAATATTTTTCGACAAAAATTTCGATGAATATGTTTTTTTTGAAATATTTTGACGAAATTTAGATTCCCTAAAGAATTTTGACAAATTTTTTTTTTCGTTTAAAACATTTTACATAATTGTTTTTGTCACAATTTTGAAGGAAATAATTTTCCTCGAATATTTTTGCAGAAAATTTTGATGAAAATATTTTCCGTAAAAAATGTTGACGTAATTGTTTTATGTCGAAACTTTTCGATGGAAATGTGTTTCGTCAAAATTTTAGACGAAAATATTTTTGTGAAATTTTTTGACGGAACTTAGATTCTATCAATAATTTTGACGGAATTTTTTTCGTAAAAAATTTATGTCACTGATTATGACAAAATCTGGTTCCGTCTCTAATTTCGTCTTAAGTTTTGATGGCAATTTTTTGACGTATATGATTTTCATAAAAAATTTCATAACTATTTTTGACGAAATATTTTTTGTCGATAAATTCTATTGGTATTTGAGACTTTTCTAATAATGTCATATTTAAAAATGATTCACATTTATGTAATTTTCACATTTTAATGCTAAGGGTATATAAGTAATTTTTAATATTTCTCCTTCAAACCCCCTAATTTGGGGGAACTTTAATTTTAAGAAGAAGGAGGATTTTGGAGGGTTTAGTAAAAATTCCCAATTTCTTCCCCTTATTTTTTTAAATTCACAAATAAGGGAAGGACTTTCTAAAATACTCCATTTCCTTTCATTCTCTTCCTTCCTAAAAGCAACTCACAAAGTCTTAATGGCATTGTGCCCCTTGTGAAACATCTGTTTTGCCCCTTGCCTTTTGAGTTTTGTGCCCAAATATCTCTGTACATGTTGTTTGCGTGTTTTGGCTTTGCTCATTTGCATTTCATACATCTCATTTCGCGCTTGGTTTCTGTTATGGACTAGGGAAAGGCCCACGACAGCAAGAAGCCCAACCTACACAAGCCCAAAAGTAAGCTCTATAAATAGAAGCTAAGGACCACAGGTATGGCTGATCTCTCAAACCCTATTTTCTTTCAAGCACGACATCGCACACACACACCCCTTCAGGCTAAGGCCATCATAATGTGTGTAGTGATTCGTTGTCCCCAAGATACCTAATCCATAGGTATCTAAAGAGAAAGCTATAGATCCAAGATCAAACAATCGACTTACGGTCGGACACCTCTGCCCACGGCAGAACATTGACGCCATCTGTGGGAACACTTTTCCACTACTACGTGATCGAAACCCACGATGGTGAGAACGACAAGAAGTGGATTTCGACAACCATCAAGATCGAATTCCAGGATCCAGTCTATTTCTCCAATCAAGGAGAATCCATCGGATCATCGGCAGATAGATACCGATGCAGTGCACGTGAGTGATGTGCACTCCGATTCGGCATCAACTCCAGCTGTCAATCCAGATGCCCCATACGTGCAAGGGTTACAACCGATGGAGGAACAAACAACGGATGCTGTGCAGGCACCAAACGGTGCAGTTGGTGATTCTCGGGTAACAGATCTGGTTGTTGCTGCGGTACTTCAAAGAATGGAAGAGATGGAGAGAAGATACAGGCTTGAAAGGGAGGCAGATGCCAGACAGATGCGAGAGCTGGAGGCTCGAGTAGGTCGAGCTGCCAACCCGAACCCCGAACGAGCCATAACACGGGTCATGAATGATCTGCAGATCACTAGCACCCAGGCGAACCCTGATGGGACCCGGGGTCGGGGGAGAGGAATTGGAAATATCGAAAGCCGTCCTCAGAGAAGTATACCCAATGTGGTTCATAATCAAGGACCTGAAGTTCGCAACGGCGACATAGGACAACCGGGAAGGCTGGAAAAGAACCCCCAGTCTTCAGATTGGAGACGCCCATCCCGAAACCCAAACCCGAACGACGTATCCGGGGTCTACAGGAGGAAGTATCACAGGGGGCAGCACAATGACAGCCCCTTCATTGACGAGATCGTGGATGCACCATTTCCAGAGAACCTCAACTTGTCTAAAATTCCAAAATACGATGGAGCGCAAAACCCCCAAGTGCATTTGGATGCCTTTGATACGGCGATGTACATTAAGGTAATTGAAGAGCCGTTGATAACCCGGTTATTTGCGACCACGTTGACGGGAGAAGCTCAATCATGGTTCTCACCTCTACCAGCGGGATCCATCAGATCGTTTGAAGAGTTCGGAGGTAGATTCTTGCTGAATTTTGCTACGAGTAAAAAATAGCCGAAGTCCGAATTCGCGCTGGGAAAAATAAAACAGCAACCTGGCGAAACGCTGCAGAAGTATTTAGACCGCTTCAAAATGGCCGCCTTACAAGTTCTCGGGTTGTCTGAGAATGTTCATTTACATTTGGTGATTGCCGGCCTCCACGGATCCTCCAGGTTAGCTAGATCCGTATACAAAAACCCAGTCCGAACTCTAGTTGAGTTCACTGCACGGTCCAAAAAATATTTGGAGCTCGAGCAGATGGAGATTGAAAATGTAGACCCAAGGCAACACCATAGCCAGATGGAGAAACTCGGAAATCGAAGGCAAAGTGATTTCCGGGGTAAAAGGCCAGAAGAGAAAGTTTCAACTAAAGTTAAATTTGATAGAATATACACCTCTGAATTCGTCCAGATCCCAAATCTGGAGAGAGGTAGCATCCACCGAAATGAAGAGGGTGGATAGGCCACGGCCATTACTGAATCCAGCCAGCCTGGACCAATCTCGATATTGCGCGTTCCATGATGGCCCTGGCCACACAACCAATGAATGCTGGGATCTAAGGGACGCAATTGAAAGATATATCAGGGAAGGAAAGTTGCATCAATACTTGATAAGAACTCAAGGGTGGAAGAATAACAAGAAGAGGAGAGGAGGACGGCTTATGAGCCCTCCCCGAGAAAAAAAGTTCAGGGATGAGGGCCGAGGTAAGAAGCCGGCCAAAGAAGAGGATGATGAATTCATAGAACCTGAGTTTGAGTGCAATGTTATTAGCGGGGGTTTTGGTGGAGGAGGTGATACAATGAATGCCAAGAGAAAGTATTTAAGAGAGGTGTTTTCGATTCGAGAATAGCCCAAGTTTAAAGGAGCCGAACCAGAAGCACCACTGCTGTTTTTTACAAAGAAAGAATTGGAGGATGTCATGTCGGGACACATTGACGTGTTAGTTATCACTGGCACAATAGTCAACTGTAAAGTCAAGAAAATGTTCGTAGATAACTGACAGCTGTGCCGACATAATTCTGTGGCAGGCATTCCAGAAAATGAACCTGGATGTGGAAGATTTGAAACCCTGCAACACGGCTTTGATTGCGTTCAATGGCCGCGATACTATCCCTAAGGGATACATTGAACTGAGGCTTACCTTGGCAACAAAGGAGGCTTACAAGTCGGAAAGGATAAGATTCATAGTGGCTGACTTCCCGTCGGAGTATAACGTAATTCTGGGAAGGCCAACTATCCACGATTGGGATATGCTGGTCACCACCAAGCATCAGAAGCTCAAGATGATTGGTAAGCAGAACACGGTAATCACCATTCCTGGGGATCAAAAAGAATCTCGAGATTGCTATTTTAAGTCGGTCAGAGCAATAGGCAGTAACCTAAAGCCACCAGTCGGCGTGAACCCCAGTAATAAGCAGGATAACTCCAAGAAGAAGGGACCAACATCGATAAACATGGTAGAGTTAGACATGAGGGATGAAACTCAGATCCCAAGGCCGGAACCCGATGGAGAGCTGGAGGAAGTAGTCATTGGAGAAAAAACTCAAACAGCCAAAATTGGAAAGGGGTTGGCAGAAGAGAACAAAGTTCGATTTACTAACTGCTTAAGGAGGAACACAGACGTCTTCGCTTGGAAATCCTCAGAGATCCTTGGCGTGGACCCTTACTTTTGTTGTCATAAGCTCGCGGTGTACCCAGGATCAAAACCGATAGCTCAAAAGAAAAGGAAGCTCAGTGCAGAACGTCGGCAGGTGTTAGAAGATCATGTAAAGGAGTTGCTGGAAGCAGGGTTTATCAGAGAAATACAATACACAACCTGGCTGTCCAACGTGGTGATGGTAAAAAAGCCAAATGGGAAATGGAGGGTGTGCACGGACTATACAGATCTGAACAAAGTATGTCCCAAGGATACGTACCCCATGCCTAATATAGATCAGCTCGTTGACAACTCATCCGAGTTCCAAATGTTGTCCTTCATGGATGCGTATTCAGGATATAATCAAATCCCACTACACCCCGAAGACCAAGAAAAAACCGCTTTCATCGCAGAAAAGGCAAATTATTGTTATAATGTGATGCCTTTTGGACTGAAAAACTCAGGTGCCACCTACCAAAGAATGATGAATCAGGTATTCGAAGATCAGCTTGGTAAAAATGTGGAGGTATACATAGATGACATGATTGTTAAATCAATTAACTCAGCAGTTCATATTGAGGATCTAGAGCAAACCTTCCAAAAACTAAGGCAGCACAATATTTGTTTAAACCCGGCTAAATGTGCTTTTGGAGTCCAGGCAGGAAAGTTTATAGGGTTTATGTTGACTCATAGGGGTATAGAAGCTAACCCGGACAAATGCAGAGCCGTACTGGAGATGAAGCCACCAGCGAGCAAAAAGGAGATCCAACAGTTGACAGGAAGACTAGCTTCGCTCACCAGATTTTTACCTCGGTCTGCGGAAACAACTTTACCCTTTTTCAAACTTCTGCGAAAAGAGGTGCAATATGGGTGGACCTCAGAGTGTGAGGTTGTTTTCCAAGAAATAAAAAAACAGCTAGCATCACCGCCAGTCCTGTCTAGTCCAAGGAATGGGGAGACGCTGATAATTTACCTTTCCGTAGGAGATGTTGCTGCCAACTCGGTCCTAGTTCAAGAAAGTGAGGAGGGGCAACAGCCAATTTACTTTGTGAATCGGCTCCTCCAGGGAGCAGAGCTCCATTATCAGAAGCTAGAAAAGGTGGCTTTCGCCTTGATGATCTCGGCTAGAAGGCTCAGATCATATTTTCAAGGGCACCAGATTGTGGTCAGATCAGACTTACCAATCCGGCAAATCCTACACAAGCCCGACTTAGCAGGAAGGATGATGGCCTGGGCTGTGGAATTGTCTGAGTTCGACATAGTTTTTGAAAGCCGAAAAGCAATCAAATCTCAAGCACTGGCAGATTTTGTCAGAGAGCTAACTTCAATCCAAAAGGAGATCTCACCAAACCCAGACACTTGGAAGATCTACGTCGATGGATCATCAAATTCCAAAGGTATTGGGGCCGGGGTAATCATTGAAAACCCGGAAGGAGTGGCGGTAGAATATTCCCTGCAAATGAAATTTGAAACGTCAAACAACCAGGCGGAATATGAAGCATTCATAGCCAGGCTTCAGCAGGCAAAGGAGCTCGGGGCAAGGAAACTGCAAATCTTTACTGATTCGCAACTGGTCACATCGCAAATCGGAGGAAGCTACCAAGCTAAAGGACCGTTGTTAGCAAAATACTTGGATTTCGCAAGACAGTTAATAACGGAGTTCGAAAAGGTAGAAGTCCACCACATTCCGCGAAATGAAAATAGCAGGGCTGATATACTGTCAAAACTGGCAAGCACTAAAGGATGGGGAAACCACAGGACGGTGGTTGAGCAGGACATCCCAGAACCCGCATGTGTCATGCGGATAGCCGAGGGCAAGGATTGGCGTAGTGTCATCATTGACTACATAGAAAACGGAACCCTACCCCCCGGAAGGAGGAAGCTCGGAAGCTGGTCAAGGACGCAACATTATACACAATGATGGAAGGTCAGCGTTACAGGAAAGGAGCCTATTCCCCCTTGCTAAAGTGTCTAAACTCGGAAAGGACGAGAAATGTCCTGTTTGAAATCCATGAGGGGATCAATGGTCAGCACATTGGAGGTAAGGCACTAGCCCAGAAATCTCTCAGAGCAGGATATTTCTGGCCCTCTATGGTTTATGATGCAAAGGAGCACGTGCAAAAATGTGATCAATGCCAGAAGCACAGCAAGAACCTTTTGGCACCACCAGAAGAGTTAAGTATGATCACGGCTTCATGGCCGTTCTTTAACTGGGGGATGGACCTTTTGGGTCTGTTTGCTGTGGCTGAAGGACAGTTAAAATTGTTAATACTGGCTTTCGATTACTTTACTAAATGGATAGAAGTGGAGCCAGTGGCAACAATCACCACGACACGAATGCAGCGCTTCTTCGAAAGGAACTTGATCTGCAGATTTGGGATTCCAGCCGAGGTAGTTACCGACAACGAAACCCAATTCACAAGTAAGACTTTCCAAGAGTTAATGGCAAATCTGCACATCCGGCATCATTTGGCGTCTGTGGAACACCCTCAATCCAATGGCCAAGTCGAGGCGACAAATCAAGTTATCATAGTCGGGCTGCACAAAAGAATGGAGCAATGTGCCAAGGGAAAGTGGGTAGAAGAACTATGGTATGTACTGTAGGGGTACAGAACCACGATGCAAACTTCTACTGGAGAAAACCCGTTCAGATTGACCTACGGTATCGAGGCTATGATCCCGGTCGAACTTGGAGAACCATCGTGGCGAAGGGTCCAAGCTTTATCACAAACTGAAAAACAGAATAGTAACAAAATAGCTGTGGAGCTGGATTTGATTGATGAAGCTCGAGTCACTGCTCATTGTAAGAATGTTGCGGAAAAGCAACTTATGGCAAACCGATTCAACAAAAAGGTAAAGCCGCGGTCATTTGTCGTGGGAGACCTTGTTCTTCGAAGGGCGGATATCGGAGGGCGAATGCGGCTGAAGGAAAGTTGGCTCCAAGATGGGAAGGACCATACAAAATTAAAGCCAAACTATCAAAAGGAGCCTGATAGTCCTCAAGAGTTGAGGTCCATTAAGTGTAAATTGTTCCACAAAACCCATGTTTTGGTTATAAATCACTCCCTCCAACCTTCTTCTTTTCATATAGAGCAACTGTTTTGAATAGTGGACCAGAGCAATGCCGAAAGTGGGAATTAAGGTAGACCTGGAGCAAATTTAACATTATCTTTTTCACATATAACTATTGGGTTAGTTTGCTTTGTTCAGGACGCCTAAGGCCCATCAAAAGGAACCACAAAATGAAGAGAGAAGAAGGAGTGTTGCGCAGAAAGGAAAAAGAAGTCTGCTATAGTACAACAGCAGTCAAAGGAAGCAATGGGGAGCCGCCACGTCAGCTACAGCAGAGAAGGTGGAGGTGCTGCCTCTGCTACAGTACGAAAGCAAAGAAGCTGAGCAATGGGGAGCCGCCACGTCAGCTACAACAGAGAAAGTGGAAGTACTGACCTGAATCCGATACTCCTACTCACAAAGGGAGCCAAAAGCAAGGGGGACCACTTCCATTTAAGGCCAAGCTGGCAAGAAGCAAAGCTACCATTGGAGAGGATTTAGACAAAGCGCAACCCTTGATGAAAGGAACAATGGAGATCAAATGAAGAACCCTATAAAAGGAACAAGCAATCCTCATAGAGAAGAAGAATCAGCACCCATCCTAGGACCGGTTGTCTCTTTGTTTTCCTATTTCTTTGTAAAATTGCTCACTAGGAGCTAACTTCCTCTAAGTAGGTGAGGGTTCCATAGAAGTAATCCCTTTTGTCTTAGGATAGCTTTGTAAGGAACACATATTTTATAAATGAATTTTGAGTTGCTCTTTGGTTTAATTTATTGATTTTGTGAAACCCTTTGGGCTGGCAACCTCATCCCGGGACCACTCGGTTGATGAAACACTGACAAAGGCGTGTGGAGCATTCTCAAAATCCTGGGGTAGTTTAGCCTGAAGAAAGGAGGGATAAACACCTGGAATGGGGAGCACTGCCATGTGAATCCATGCTCTTTTGAGAAGGCAGCATGGTTTCCTTGCATATAACTCCAAGTACTATGGAGTAACGTGGAGAGTAAGGCCTTACCCTCTGCTTACCTATAGCAAAACAAGGGAAGGAGCAAAATCCACTTGTAAAATATGCTACCAGGCAGGGTTAACCAAAGGGATGAAAACATGGAACCCGTAACACCTACTTGATCTTTTTCTTTCTGAAATTAATCTTAACTCAATTCCTATCACAACCTTTTCCTCACGATAACTGAACTGTGTTTTACTAGCTGATGATCTTACTTTCATTTCGTTGACTGCTCTTAAAGTTACTTCAATTGATGCCATTTTATTCGATGACCATGCTGAGTCATTCACTGCTCTCATCTGGTTCAGAATGGTTAACATTGTTTAACTAGCTGCTCAGAGAATGCTCTTTGTGAAGCTTAGCTGAGAATAGTGATTTCCTTTATTGCTCCATTTTACAAATTAAGTTTCCTTTAGCGCTTCTTACTTCACAACTGCTCCCTGAGGACGATAAATCTGGGGCTATAATACCCTATATTGCTTGACACGTATGCTTGCATATAGTTGAAGAGGGTTGCTCTTAGTCAGAGTAGATTGCTCCTGTTGGCAATCCTGATTACTAATCTACACTCTTGCTCTCTGAAAGAAATATTCCCGAGCAACTCTCGGTTCAACCAAGCAATTGGTGCCGTTGCCGTCATTTGGCAAGAAAGGGCGTTTTTAAGGAAACATTTTTTTTTTTGCTGTTTAATCGCAGTCTTTTTGTTTTAATAAACCTCCTCCATTTGTATGAGCACAGAACCTACAGAACTTGGTCTGGAAATAGTACTTTTTGATCCAGAACCCGAGAGAACCTTCAGAAATAGAAGAAGAGTTCAAAGGTTGAAAAACAGTACAATGGAGGAGGTTGTAAACAATGATAACAATGGAAATCATAATCATGAGCCTGAACAAGGACCGAATGGAGGAAGAGGGCCATCATTGAATGATATGGCTGCTCCCTTCAGAAATGGTCCAGAACGAGGATATGTTCCCCCTCCTCTGAATATCCTGAACTTTGAAATAAAACCTGCAATGTTCCAAATGATTATGAACGCTGGTCAGTTCCATGGACTACCCATGGAAGACCCTCACAGTCATTTGGACAATTTCACTGAGATAGTGGACAATTTCAAAGTTCATAGTATTTCGGAAGAAAACATGCGGATGCGGCTTTTTCCATTTTCCTTAGCTGGAAAAGCCAAAGAATGGAGGAGAACATTGCTCCCAAACTCCATCACTAGTTGGGAGCAATTGGCGGAACAGTTTGTTACCCGATTTTTTTCCCAAGCAAAACAAGCCCAAGTTAGGGCTGACATAGCTTCTTTTCAAATGTATGATGGAGAAAGTCTGTATGAAGCGTGGGAACGCTTTAAAGAGTTGATACGAATCTGCCCGAATCATGGAGTTTCTGATTGGGGCATCATTCACACGTTTTATCATGGTTTAACCCCACCATTGAAAGCAACTGTTGATGCAGCCGCAGGGGGAGATCTTTTGGATTTTACTTATCCAGAGACCTACCAGTTGTTGGAAAAACTTTCAAAAAAACATATTTCATGGCCTCCCACACGACACAGTGCTCCTAAGAAAGCAGGAGTTCTTGAGCTAAGCTCAGCTGATGCTCTTTCTGCACAAATGGCTTCGCTCCAGAACACTATAAAAAATTGGAAGCCCATGGAACAGAAAAAAACAACTGAGCAACTTATTTTGACTCAATCAAGTCAGAGTTGCCCCACTTGTGGAGGTCCTCGTGAATATGAGGACTGTAACAATCTAGCTGCTGTGTGCTATGCAGGAGGGTATGACAACAACAACAGGAGCAATGACAACCATAAAGGGAACAATAACCGAGGCTGGAGGAATCAGAATAATGCTGGAGGTAGTGGAGGAAACTACCAGAACCGACCCCCGTATCCCAGGCAGAACCAACAAAACTGGGATAAGGGTGAAGGGAAGTCCCAATCCTTTGAGACTTCTGTCAAGGAGTACATGAATCAGAACAGCGCAGCCATGCGAAACCTAGAAACCCAAATTGGTTAGCTGGCTGGAGCACTCAAACAGAGGCAACCAGGGACACTCCCTAGTGATACAGAAAAGCCGTCTCAAGATAACCAGGAGCATTGTAATGCTATAAGCCTGCGAGATGGAAAAACCTTACCATCCCCAGACTTAGTGGCACGACATCGAAAGCGCGAACCAGCAAAACAGCCCATAGGAAAGGAAGTTGAAGAAGCCACTGACCCTTCACACCTTGAAGTTCATACAGGACCAGAAGAGAAGGTCCAAAGCAATGAGTCTGCTGAAATCAAACCGAATGACGCAACACCTGTAGCAGAACTTGGAACAACAAAAGTCAGTGAACCAGTTTCAGTTCCAACTTATGTTCCCCCATGCAAGAGAAGGAGTGAACCGATCGAGCCTCCTTTTCCACGGAGGTAGAAAAAGCAACACGAGGATAAACAATTTAGCCAGTTTCTTGACTTGATGAAACAACTTCACATAAATATCCCTCTAGTAGAAGCCCTGGAGCAAATGCCTTCATATGCAAAATTCATGAAGGACATTTTGTCAAAAAGAAGAAAGATCGAAGAGTTTGAGACCGTAGCCCTCACTCAACAATCGTGCAAGTACCTGACTAAAATTCCTCCCAAACTAAAGGATCCTGGTATATTCACCATCCCGTGTACAGTTGGGAAGAACTATCTTGGTCGGGCACTTTGTGATCTGGGCTCAAGTGTAAATCTAATGCCAGCTTCCATCTTCAAGCAGCTTGACATAGGAGCAGCAAGACCAACCACAGTCACTCTTCAACTTGCAGACCGATCTATAGCCAAGCCAGAAGGAAAAATTGAGAATGTCCTTGTCCAAGTAGACAAGTTCAT